TCTTGGAGGTCCAGCGCCCCGTCTTAGAGATGGATCGGCATGATTGTATGTTTGCTTTCCGTCGCTCGTATCAAGCTCGTGATATCTTATATACTTTGCGCCTCCTGGTAGAGAAATCTGATGATCATGAGGAGCCGCCCCTGGTCGCTGTAGGAGGTGGCAGCAGGACGTCTTACGTTGATATCAAGCATCCCATCCTTGCTAAAAGGCTCAATGAACATGGGGTGTCCAGAGTAACCATTGGTTTTTGTATTCGGGGTACACTCAATTCCACCCCCGCATCCGTTTGCCAGGGGACCTCTGACATATCGAGTCGGCAGCAGCCTTATCCAGGGTGACCCTGTCGCGCCCGAGCCTAGCACTGTTTTTTTTTTGATGCGGGCCTCCGCGCGTGTCAGGGCCTCTGCAGACGAAGCGGCGATGCCTGGGGCAGACGACCTGGTGTTAGGGATTTATACAATTGCTGACATTTGTTGGATCTTGGCCCGCTCGGTTCCCATGGCCCATCGCATGACTGAAACCTGGCTGCGCATTCTAGAGGAGACTTGCCTGCATGTCCCCGTAAACGAGATGGAACGGTGCCGCGCCTTCTTTCCCATATAGGCACGCTTCGCGCGAGAGGCGTGCTGATCCCTTGCTGTGAGCGCGCTGCAGGCATCAGAGTCCCGGTCACGTGCGTAGCTTCCGATCGGAGTTAGTTGGAAATAGAATCCGGAGGACTTGGCGGGCTAGGGCGGCGCGCAGGAGTCTGCTCAACAATCCAAACACTAAGCTTGCGCAGCCGCCTCAAGGCCTTAGACAGATGCGTCCGACCCGCCTTCGCGTTTAGTGTAGGCAGCTTTTTCTTGTCCGTCTCCGGCAGTCAGTCGTATCCTCAACTGCCGTTACGCCATTTTGGAGCGAATTATCCGTCCACCTTGTGCCGACACAGCGGCCGAGCACATGATTTCTGCCCTGGCCTTTGTTTCGGAAATGCGCGCACGCCATGAAATCCAGCCTTGGGCCCAGACCTGCCGACATCTCTTTCATGCCTGGCAGGACATTTCCAAAGCGTGGCCTGGGCTTCTACATATAGAGTCGCCTACCGTGTGTTGCGGTATCGTGACCGTGCCTGGGTGTTCTCCATGGAACGCTCCTTGGGATCCCAGCTGCATCGCAGAACTGTCGGCATCAGGAGATGGGAACGGGTTTTTTTGAGTGTTATGGCTTCGATTGGCTCGCCAACTCTACTACCAGCTCGGCTGGTCGGACGGGCTGAATGCTTGGCATGAATGGCGACGATCCCTCAGGGCATCTTCTGGCTTGCTTTGTTTTTAGGTTTGCATGGCGCCGTCGGGCCCTAGTGGCACCCCGAAAGACGGCTCGAAGCGGAAGGAAACGAAACGACGTGTCGTCGTCGTCGTTGTCGTCGCAACAATGTGTTTCAGCCCTATGTGTTGCCGCGTGACGACGAGAATTGAGTGGTTGTTATCGTTTCGCCTCTCCGGCCTTGCTGCCTGGCGCGTAGAGCAAACACACCGTTGTGTTTTGCGCTCCTGCGGTGCCACCTGGCGAAGGTGAGCCTAAACTTGTTTTCCAGCCGTTGGCGTTGCCACGTGACGAAGAGAGCAAAACAACCGACCGTTTTCAAACGATGCCTAGGAGGTCTTTGGGATCTGTTTAAGACAGCTTCTTCATATTCCGAAGCGTTCTGGCGGGCCGCGGGATTCAAGCAATACAAACGGATGCAAGCTCAAGTGATGGAGTTTTGCTGAGCAAGAGTTCTCGGATGTTGAAGTGGTACTCGGATGCTAAAACTCGGCGGTTCTTGCGTAGCCAATGATCAAACAACACCGTGTTTTTTTCCTGCCCACCACTCCTGCGTTACCACGTGACGAACAAACTAGACTAGTATGGCTTTCCCCCCCCGTCCTTTCACGAGGGCATACTAATGGGGTAGTGCGGTCTTCGCCTCACCAAGCGGTGCCGTGTGGAGCACAGGAAAACAGCCTTTTCCCGATCCGTGGCGATGGCACGTGACTGCAATACTAGGGTCATATTGTTTCTGCTGCCGCCCGGGCATTGCCGTGCGACGAATGGAGTGGGCTGTCATGGCCTCTGGGTGGGTTTTCTGTGGAGCGGAAAAGCGGGAAGGGAAGGCGAGGGTTTCCAGGCTGGGGAGCTCCAGTGGGGACGAGTAGCTTGCAGGGTTTGCGGGGGGGTGGGGTGGTCAGAAAGATGCGCAAAACAGGGGGGGGGGATGGGGGCGGCTTCGGGGGGGCGCTGCAAGGGGCGGGTGGTCTTCGGGCTGGGGAAGTCAAAGGCAAGGGGGGGAGTTTGCAGAGAGGGGGCGAGGGAAATGGGGGGAGGGGGGGCTTCGGGCTGAGAAGCCAATGGGGGGGTGGGGGGCGGCGGCGGCGGCGGCAGTTTGTTAGCAGGGGCTGCATGGGGGATAGGGGGCGGAAAAGAGGGTCTTCCAGCAGGGGAGACAAATGGGGAGAGGGGGGGGTCCATTCAGGAAGGCGAACAGAGCAGGGGAAAGGGACTGGGGGGGGGGCTGCGGCTGGAAAGGTGACAAAGGACACAGTAGTCCGGGGACGATGTTCCGAGTATTTTTGGCAATTATTTGAATCTTCTTTTGAATATTCGTCCCATATTCGCACAACATCCGCCTGCAGGAGGACACGCCCGACCTGACCCAAGTGGGACCTGGCCGCCTTCGGCGCTCTCAGTTGTAGGACCGTCGTCGCTTCCTGCGCCCCTGGGGCTTCCAGCGGAGCCCCGCCGTGATCGCGGGCGTCCCGACTGGACGTCGCCCCCGTGGGAGGTGCCGCGCGTAGAACTGGGAGTCAAACGCGGCCGTTTCCGCACGGGCATGTAAATGAGACCTCGCTTCCCGGGGTGCCGCCAGTCTTCTTGAGTGGTTTGTCGACGTTCCTGGACGGATGCATCTTCGCTTGAGTAGCATTACCACCGGTATCACTGCTGTCAGCATTATAATTTGCAGCCGGCATTCCAGTGTCCTTCTGCCCATCACTCCATCGTGCCTGGGTCTGGATCTCAGGATTGCGGCTCTCTGGTGGTCTCTCGGGAAGCCTTTCGGGGTCTCTTGGGGGTCTCTTGGGGATCTCTTGGGTGGTGTGGAGGTCTCTTGGAGGCCTCTACCTTCTTGGGGCTCTCTGGAGCTACGCTTTTGGGTTCTTGAGGGGCCGTATAAATGAGGGGAGCATAGGATCATCTCGGGGCCTTCCTGAGGCTTCGCATGCCCAGCGGGAGCCACATCAGCCAGACGTCCAAACTTCTTCAGCACCCTTAGACGCAATTCATTTTTTCTTATGAGGGGCATCCTTGGGAGGAGTGAGGGCCACCTCACAACGACCTTGGACCGCCTTCAGGCAGTTCTGAGGCATGCTTGAGTCACGGCTAACCTGGACCATCTGGCACAAGCTGTCCCTGGAAATCACCTGGGCCCAGACGGCTGGTTGATGCTACGTTTTACCCAAACGCTGCTTTCATTTGGGTGTTTCTGTTTCCTATCGGTCGAATTGTCCCCATGCGGCGGGATTTTGCTATATTGTCGGCGATTCTCGCTCCGTCGTCTTTTTTCTGAAGTGGGACCCTGTCGTTTGGTGTCTCTCGCGGTGATGTCCCGCCATGGGGAGTCCCACAGGATTCGGTCCAATGCGATATGGTCCCCCACGAGGGGGCCCCACGCGACAGAGTCCCACGCAATCGGATCCCACACGAGAGGGTGTCCCACACAATGGGGTTTCACAACTCGCCCCCCATATTTCGCCTCTTACATTGAGGGGCGTCACGCTTCGGTAGCCTTTGTCTGTTACTGATATCGGTGGCTTCGAGCGAGCTTCCTGCTCCTGGGAATTGTGCTTGAGCGCTGATGCTCTCAGAATAGTGGTTGGCACCGTCATTGCGTGTCGAGTCAAACGATGCCATTCCGTGTGCCGCTCGGACTGCGCCCAGAGATCGCGCCGGGAGCCGCGAAGACGAGGGCCAAGTGCCTGCGAGGGCACCGAAGGAAGGGGCGCGCAGCCTCAAAGCAGTGGTGCACGCGCGCCCCGCTGTCGCGACGCGCCGCGGCGCCGTGCGCGTGGCCGCGACGGCAGAAGGAACTGTGAGCCCGTGCGTCCCCGTGCAGTCAACCCGCACGTAAAGGTGAGCGAATTTCCAAGGTTCCCGGGCGCGGTCCGAGCGGCGCACGGAATGGCATCGTTTCACTCGACGCGCAGTGACGGTGCCAACCAATATTCTGAGAGCGTCAGCGCTCAAGCACAATTCCCAGGAGCAGGAAGCTCGCTTGAAGCCACCGCGAGAGACACCAAACGACAGGGTCCCACTTCGAGTTTAAACGACAACGGAGCGAGAATCGCCGACAACATACCAAAATCCCGCCGCACGGGGACAATTTGCATCCTTCCCCTCCGGCCCATCCTTGGCCGCTCTCGCTGGCCGCACCCCGCTCGAAAAGCGTCGGCACGGCCCTGCAAGGCCTCGGCTTCCGATGAGGGAACCAACAATGACACAAAGCACAACAACTCGGAGGTCCGCGCGGATTTCTCGGATCGGCGCTGGAGCCCCCCAGCGGTGCCTCCGGCGCCGCCCCTGGCGCGCGAAGCGCGCGCTCCGCGCCGCCCTTATGCTCATGTCATCCTTCGTCCCCCAGCATCGTGCGCCCCCATCCTGCTGGTTGCTTGTCGCCGCCTCGCCTCCCGAGGGCGTGCGGGCTCGGGGGGCCGCCGGCGCCCGCGCGCGAGGGGCCGCGGCCGGGGGGGGGGGTGCGGGGCCGTGGCCGGGGGCGCGGGGGCCGCGCCGGGCTCATGGCCGCGGCCCGCCGGAGCGGCGGGCCCCCGCGGGCGCGCCCCGGGGCCGCTGCCCCGGGGCCCGGCGCCGCAGGCGGAGCGCGGCCTCGCCGCTCCGCCTGCTGCTGGCCGCCGCGGCGGCCGCCCCCGCGGTGGCGCTGTGGTCCTGGGGCGGGGCCGCTCCGCGCCGGGCCCGCCGGCGAGGGCCGCGCCGCGGGGGCCCCCGAGGGCGGGTGGCCTCTGCGGGCCGCGCTCGCGGCCGCGGGCGCGGGGCCGCCCGGGCCGGCGCTGGCCGGGCGGAGGCCGGTGGCCCGGGAGCCGCAGGTGGCGCTGGCAGCCGCGAAAGCGAAGGCCCAGGCTCGAATAATAATAATAATAATATTATTAATAATAATAATACTTGTAATAGTAATAATAATACTACTAATAATCTTATTAATAATACTAATAATAATATTTATAAGAATACTAATGATAATACTAACAATAATAATACTAACAATACTAGTACTACTACTACTACTACTACTACTACTACTACTACTACTAATATTAATAGTAACAATAAGAACAATATTAATAATACTACTAATACTAATACTATATTAATAATAATAATATTACTATTAATTTTACTAATAATACTAATACTACTACTACTACTACTACTATTAATAATGATAATGATCATGCTAATAATAATAGAATAGTAATGCAATAACAATAACAATAACAATTCAATTAATTAATACTCATAATAGTCATAGCAGTAATAATAACAACAACACTAATAGTAGGATTAATCATAAGAGCAATCATAAGAGTAATACTGCTAATATTAATACTGAGAGGGATATGAGTAATAATACTGATCGTAATAGTAACAATAAGAATAATCAGAATAAGAAGAATAATAATACGAAGAAGACTAGTAGTAGTAGTAGTAGTAGTAGTAGTAGTAGTAGTAGTAGTAGTAATACTAATGATGATGATGATACTAATAATACTAATAATACTAATAATACTAATAATAATAATACTAGTAATACTAATAATAATACTATTATTATTATTATTAATAATAATAATAATATTATTAATACTAATAATAATAATAAGAATAATAATAAGAAGACGAATCAAATTAATAATAATAATAATAGGAGTAATAATCAGAAGAATACTAAGAAACGCCATTGACATAATTTTTCGGCGCTCTGCGCGGATTTCTTGGACTCGCGCGGGGCCCTCCCCGCCTCGCCTCCGGCGCCGCCCCTGGCGCGCTCCGCACGCGAGGGAGGGGGGTCCAGCGCAGATGCAAGAAATCCGAGCGCCGTTTGTTTGTGTGTTGTGGCGTTTTTTTTTCTTCTTCTTCTTCTAAAGGCTGCGAAGGTCGACGCTGCCGCAGCTGGTTCGCAGCTCGACCTGACGCGCTTCGCCGCCGCCTCTCTCAAGCAGAGCCTGAAGGGGCTCGGGCTGCAGGCCACCGGTGCGAAGGCGGAGCTGGTCGCAAGACTGCAGGGTGGCGCCGACGGGGTCGCCATGGGGAGGCGGAGCGTCGTTCAGCTCAGGAGCAGCCTGAAGGCGCTGGGGCTGAGCGGGAACGGCAAGAAAGAGGAGCTCGTTGCGCGTCTTATAGAGGCTATCGGTGAGGAGGTGCCGGCAGAAGATGCGGAGGCGTCCCAAGTGGAGGAGGTGGAGGAGAAGGAGGAGGAGGAGGAGGAGGAGGTGGAGGAGGTGGAGGAGGAGGACGTCGACCTCGCGAGCCTGCCCAGTGACCAGCTCAAGGTGAGGCTGAAGAGGCTGGGACTCCCGCAGTCCGGCAAGAAGGCCGACCTCGTCGCGCGCCTGCGCGAGGCCGCCGCGGAGGAGGCAGCACAGGAGGAGGGAGATGAGGCCGTCTCAGAGGACGACGGTCTGGATAGCCTGAGTGGTGCCGTGCTCAAGGAGAGGCTGAAAAAGCTGGGGCTTCCTGTGTCTGGCAGGAAGGCCGAGCTGGTCGCGCGCCTGCGGGAGGCAGCCTCAGAGGGCGAGGAAGAGGTGGAGGCAGAGGACGAGGTGGAAGAAGGGGATGATGATGAGGAGCAGGAGGACGAGGACCTGGACAGCCTAAGGGTCGATGAGCTGAAGGTGAGGCTGAAAAGGCTGGGCCTGTCGATGTCCGGCAAGAAGGCTGAGCTCGTCGCGCGGCTGCGCGAGGAAGGTACCGAGGCGGTCGAGGAGGATGAGGATGAGGATGACGAGGAGGACTCTAGGCCTCCCAGATGGGGTCTGAATAGAAAGGTTCGGAGGATCGCTCCGCATCGCCAGTGTCGTTGATGCGGCTCGATGTGGAGCCCGATTTTCTCCACGGCGCCATCGCCGATACATCGCCGCGTTGCGATCCTCCGACCCCATCTACTCGGAGCCCCCCTGTGAGGCCTCGGAGGACGAGGGGGAAGTGCAGCGCGCCGGCGGCGGCTCGGACTGGCTGAAGAAAGGGGCCGACGTGGACGTCAAGCACGAGAATGTGTGGTACACCTGCAAGGCTCGGGGAGGGACAAGCAGTATCATATCGGCGCCACCCAAACATGCTCATACGTGGAACCCCGCAGGTTCGGATCAGAGTGAGGGGGCGGCGAGGACGTCAGCAGTCTGCGAGGCTCTGAAAGAGCCCGCCGCAGGCGCCTAACTTGCGCAAGTTATGCAGTGAGCCCGCCTGAAGATTTCTCCTTAGAGCGATGTGGGTGGGTCGCGGGGAGGGTCGCGGTTGGGTCGCGGGTGGCTCGCGGATGGTTTGCGGGCCGGGTCGCAGGCCAGGTCGCGGGTGGGTCGCGGGTGGGTCGCGGGTGGGTCGCGGTGCGGGTCGCGGGGAGGGTCGCGGGTGGGTTGCGGGGTGGGTCGCGAGTGGGTCGCGTTTGGGTCGCGGGTGGGTCGCGGGTGGGTTGCCAGGCCGGGTCGCTGGGGGGACGACGACAACGAACAACAACGACAACAACAACAGCAACGACAACAGCAACAACAACAGCATCAGCAGCAACACCAACAACAAACACAATTACACCAGCAACAACAACAGCAACACGAACAGCAGCAGGAGCAGGAGCAGCATCAATAACAACACCAAAAACAACAGCAACAGCAACAACAATATCATCAGCAACAGCAGTATCAGCATCAACAACAACAACAACAACACAACCAACACCACAACCAGCAACAATAACAACAATCCTCACCGCATAACCTCACTTCAGCCACGCGCCCAGGGATAGTGATTGACCGTTCGGCCCCCTCAATCTAAATATATGTGCGTCGCCCCCGAAGGGGCGATGCGCGCGCCGAGAGATCTTAGAGCATATGGTCGGTTGCGGGCGCTTTCTGGCCGTGCCGCTCGGGAAGTGAAATAGTACAAGATGGATGTACTACGTGTTCGGATCGGACGCACGCTTCCGAGGAGGACACGTAGTACTTGTATGTCCTTCTGCGTCCCATCAATGGCACGCTGCCGTCGGCAGCCCGTTAGCGTGTTACTATTTAGCTTTAGTCCGAGGCGCTTGTGTTTCTCGAGCAGTAACGCGCTGATGGGTTGTTCGCAGCGGTGTGTCACTGATGCTGTTTCCTCACCCCACCCTCCAGAGGTCCTAGACGTCCAGGAGGGCGGTGAGCTCGTGACGGTGCTCTACTACGACGGCGAGGACGAGGAGGAGGGCGTGGAGGTCTCGAAGCGCGTGCGAGCGCTCCGGCCGACCTGGGTGAAGGAGGGCATGAAGGTGGAGGTCGACTCCGAGGAGGTCTTCTAGCTGGAATGCCTTCGGCGTGGCAGCCGCTCGTCAGACTGCCGCGCGCACCACTGTCAGACAGCGGTTGACGTTGACGAGGCCTGGACCCCACCGCAAAGTCTACGCTTGATGCTGAAGATAGGGGGGGCAGAAGGATGAGGAGAAAGGGGCGAGGAGCATGACGGGCACGGTTTCGGTGAGGAGGCGATGCCACAAGGGTCCAGGGCTGCATCAGTGTGCTCATTGATTGCTCGCTCGCTTTGATCATGCTGGGCATGTAGCTTTCGATAGATATACGATCGCTCACGTCGAGTATTGGCTCGCTTTCGCGCGGTACGTCAACATTGATCGCTTGTCGTACGACTTTGATGGAGACGCGCGTCGCACATGCAGTGACATGACGAGTTGCAATGCAATGTCATGAATCTGGGACGGACGATACGTCGGGGAAATGGGGACTCTCACATGCCACCATTTGAGGGAGTGTTCATCTCCCGTTTTGCCTGGATGGGAGTCTCGATGTCGTTGCCTCTGGACGGAATCGAAAAGACACACCAGGAAGCGTGGTGAGCTTCGTAGGGTAAGTTCTGACGTAATAGGGCATCGTCGTCATTTTCGGGTACAGATCGCTGCGCTGGCCCTGAGGATACGGAGGACGCGGAGGATGATGAGGAGATTGGGGGATGTGGAGGAGGGGTGGGTGGGGGGGTGGGGATGTGGGTGGCCTCAGGAAGAGGAGGATGAGGAGGAGGAGGAGGAGAAGAAGAAGGAGGAGGAGGAGTAGTGGGAGGAGTATGGGCAAGAGGATGAGGGTTATGATGATGACAGCGACGGCGACGCTGATCATGATGATGATGATGATGATGGTGATGATGATAAGGATGATGATGCTGATGATGATGCTGCTGATGATGATATTGATGCTGCTGGTGAGGATGACGACAATGATGCTGATGAGGATGATGATGATGTTGCTGTTATTGTTGGTGATGATGATGCCGATGATGTTGGTCATGATGCCAATGATGATATCGACGATGACGATGAAGATGAGGATGACGATGATGATAATGCAGATGACGATGATGATGATGATGATGATGATGATGATCACGAGGATCAGGATGATTCTTTTGATTATGATGATGGTGCTGGTGATCGTGGTGGTGGTGATGATGATGATGATGATGATGATGATGATGACGAGGTCGGTGTTGATGATAATGTTGATGATGCCAGCGATGATGATGTGTGATGAACATGGTGCCGATCGGGATGTTCATATTATAGCTGGTGGGGTATTCTTGAGATTTGTATTTGAGATGGGCGATCTTCATCTACGATGAAGATGATGAGAAAGAGGATGTTGAAGATGAGTAGGAGGAGCAGCATTGGGATGACGAGGATGATCACGATGATGAGAAAGCGGGGAGTGCTATCGAGATGAGTGGGTGGAGGATGGTGGAGGAGGACGATGAGGATTGGGATGAGGAGTGGGATGAGGATGAGCAGGACGAGGCTGATAAGGAGGAAGAGGACGATAAGGAGACGGAGGCGGAGGAGGAGAAAAGGTGTGAGGGGTCAAGCTAATTGCTCTCATACCCTACATATCTCACGCAATAGCTCTTTTACCCATTCCTTCGGATTGAGCAAAATTTCTTGTTGGCCGCCGACCAGGATGTTCTAGAGGACCAGGATCTCTAATACGGCCCCATCGTGTGACGCGTAAGCGGATGATGATAATGCTGATATTAATGTTTATGATCATGACGAAACTGATGCTGATGCCGATGATGATATTGATGATGATGAGGAGGATGATGCTGATGATGATGATGATGTTCATGATGATGATGCTGATGATTCTGCTGCTGATGATGATGCTGATGCTGCTGCTGATGATGATTATGATGATGCCCATGCTGATGAGGATGATGATGATGATGATGATGATGACGATGACTATGAGGTTGATGCTGATGCTGCTGCTGATGATGATGCTGATGACGATGATGACGACTTTGAAGCTGCTGATGATGATGATGAGGCTGCTGCTGCTGATGATGATGATGATGACGATGCTACTAATCATGCTGATGATGATTTTGGTGATGCTGGTGATTATGGTGGTGGAGATGATGATGCTGATGATGATGATGATGATGACGACGACGGTGCTGATGGCGATGATGATGATGATGAAAATGGTGATGATGCTGATGATGATGATATTGCTGCTGATGATGATGATGATGATGATGAGGATGGGGCGGAGGGAGATTATGCTGATGATGACCATGATGGTGGTGGCCATAATGATGATGCTGATGATGCTGATGATGCTGATGATGATGGTGATTATGGTGCTGGCGATGATGATGATGATGATGATGATGATGATGATGATGATGATGATGATGCTGATGCTAAGTATAATGCTGCTGATGAGGTTGTTGGTTCTGATGATGATGACGTTGTTGTTGATGATGATGATGATGATTCCGGTGCTGATCATGATGACGTTGATGATTTTGTTGCTGATGTGAATGATGATGTTGATGATGCTGATGATGTTGCTGCTGCTGATGATGACGATGATGATAACGTTGATGATGTTGATGATGATGATGATGATGATGATGATGATGATGGTGCGGATGATGATGAATATGATGATGCTGCTGCTGAGGATGCTGATGATTCTGATGATTGCGGCAGTGATGATGATGATGATGATGAGGATAATGCTGGCGGTGCTGATGATGCTGGTGATGATGATGATGACGATGCCGATGTTGATTCTAATGTTGATGATGATTGTGCGTATGTTGATGCCCATGATGCTGCTGATGAAGATGTTCATATCATAGGTGGTGGGGTGTTCTTGATCTATGTATTAGAGGAGGGCGATCTTCATCTATGATGAAGATGATAAGGAAGAGGAGGTTGAAGAGGAGTATGAGGAGCAGCATTAGGATGATGACGACGACGATCACGACTATGAGGGAGTAGGAAGTAATATGGGGATGAGGGGGTTGAGGATGGTGGAGGAGGACGATGAGGATTGGGATGAGGAGTGGGATGAGGATGAGAACGAGGATGAGGAGGAGGAGGAGGAGGACGATGAGGAGACGGATGCGGAGGGGGAGAAAAGATGTGATGGGTCAAGCTAGCTGCTCTCGTACCGTACATCTGACGCCCTACCTCGTTTACCCATTCCTTCGGATTGAGCTAGATTCTTTGTTGATCACCGACCAGGATGACTGGGATCTCTAACATGGCCTTTTCGCTTGCCCTGGCTTTGGGTAGGGTCGGGCTGGGCACGCATGGCTGGCCAGGGGGGCGCGGCGCGCTGGGGGGGGCCTAAGCTAACACGATCCGAGAGCCGTCTGTCTCGTAAGCCGCGCCGAGGGCCGTGTCAGGGGGGGGCTTTCGGAATTTGAGACCCGCCCGCACACACCATTCCGCGGTGGCATCCTCCCGTTTCGGCGGCGCTGGAAATTTGTGGGGTCGGACCCCAGGGACAACCACCCCAGGCTGACACCCTGGGCGGCCCAGGGTTATCCAGGCCTGGCCTATCTGCCCGCGTCGGCGGCGGGCAAGTGGATCGAGCACGTTCTCAGTCCCGCCGGCGGCACGTCGCGGACGGTCCGTGGGCCCGCGGCGCGCAGTCGGCGGGGTGCAATTGCGTCCTGGCCGGCGCACAGTCGCTGTGCGCATAGACCAGCGAGGAGCCAGTGCGCCCTCAGCCGCGCACGGCAATCAAGGCATACCGAGCTGCCCCAGGCCAGACGGCCCAGGGCGGCTCGGGCCGGTCATGCAGGGCCAGCGTGCCCGCACCGGCGGCTGGCAAGTGGATCGGCCATGTTCTCGGTTCCGCCGGCAATCCGCGCCGAGGGCCAGTGTGCCCCGTGCGACGGTTCAAGCGCCGCGCGCCCGCCATGGCATTCCGCTTGGCGAGCGGCCTTGCGGTCGGTGGTCGCCAGCGAGGTCAGTCGGTCCGCGGTGATTACTGTGAGGCAGGGCGCGCGGGACCTGGTGTACTAAACGAGGTCAGTCGGCCCGCTGGGTACCCGGTCGGTGAGGCCAGAGCGCCCGCCTGAAAAGGCCCGCCCAACCCTTGGTCGAGCGGCCGTGGGGGCGGGCTGGCCTGCGTCCTTCGAGGACCCGAATGCTTGAGAGGGGTGCTTTGCTCACCCCTTCACCGCCTGGAAAGGTCCAAGGCCGCCGCCGCGGTGCCGCGCCGCGGGGCCTCGAGGCGCGCGGTGGGTATGGGCCGCTGCCCGCCCTCTGGGGTGCTTGGCGGGGCCCGTAACCATCGCCGCCCGAGGGCCCGCGGTCGTGGCTCCGCGGGTCGGGGGAAGCGGATGTCTTTGGACGGCGTGTGCGTCAGGGCTTTGGGGGGTCGGGGGGTGCGCGTTCTGGTGGCCCCCCCCGCCGTTGCCCCCCCCCCCCCCCGGCTGGCATCGTATGATGTGTAATATGATGGTGATGATTATGCTGATGATAAAGATGATGATGACGCTGCTGAAGCTGCTGCTGTTGGTGATGCATATGATCAGGATAGTGATGATGCTGATGGTGACGATGTTGATGCTGATGATGATGATGATGCGGGTAATACTGATGACGATGATTCTGACTATGATGATGGTGATGATGCCCATGTGGATGATGACGATGATGGTGACGATGCTCGTGATGTTGATGATGAGGCTGCTGCTGATAATGATGATGAAAATGTTGGCGAAGATGATGACGAGTCTGAAACTGCTGATGATGAGGATGCTGCCGATAATGATGATGATGATGATGATGCTGCTTCCCATGCTGACTTAAAGTATGGGGGTGCTGGTAATTGTAGTGGTGGCGATGCTGCTGATGATGTTGTTGGTTGTGATGATGATGATGATGATGATGATGATGATGTCGATGCTGATCATGATGACGGTGATGCTGATGCTGCTCATGTAAAGGATGATGATGATGATGATGATGGTGATGATGATGATGATGATGGT